ACGACACATTGTTATTTTTTTGACTTGCAAAATGATCGTTTAAATTGACAAACATCATATGTGTAATTCGTGGCACAATTCAAACGGGATCGAAAGATAATCTTTCTCTCGCCTTTGACTTCAATACGTAATTTTACCGAAGTAAGGTCCCATATGATGGAGGTCCACCGGAAAGGGAGGGACTTCGCTTCTCTATAACATTTCCAAAGGTTTGTGGTCCTTATGGGCCATGTATGATGTGCTTTTATTTGTATGTGCATTTTAGACGATAATGGCACTTTGTAAAGTTGCACACAACAGTTCACTTGCATTCTCTTTTGGTTTGGTACACAATATAAAACAAGAACCATGTTTTTAGTTGAGTACTGTAGATGAGTTGAGGAGTACAGTGTGCAGATGCTGGTTTCTAGTCTGGTAGTGTATTTTACATGCAGGGTGAGCAGGCTGTTTCTTGTGTATTGTCTATTAATCATGATACCTTCAAATCATTAAAGTAAGACTTATGACTTGGCCATGTATTAGACTGCATTGTTTTTTTGTTCGGTGTACTTTATAAACCGGCATTTATTTAAATATCCTACGTTTGTAAAGTGTCACACATTTGTACTCAAATAAACATTTCATGGTATATGGCAGGCCAGAAAAGGCTGTAAAAACACTCATCAGAGAGAATAAACTAAGTCATCCTACCTTTTTTAACAGTTAAGTTTGCAAAAACAAATGCTATTTTTGTCACATAATTTAAGTAAAATATTTCCTGGAAGCTAAAAACAAAACCCAGGAATAGCCTTGTAAGTATGTAAGTAAGTCTGTTTAGTTAATGTCGTTAATGACAATGTGTAACCTTAATCCATGATCAGCACACCGTTCACTCAACAGATCATGTTTTGGTTTAAATCAAAATAAAGCAAAACAAACATTAAACTGTTCCTTTACAGTACACAGCAGTCGGTCAAAGTTAACTACCATCTGAGTGACCGAAAACAACCTGACATTGAAACAAGCTCACTAGTTACAAAAGTAGATGTTCAAAATGTTAATAAGAAGAGAATACAAAAATGTGTCGATTACATACTTAACGTTGCAGTTTTATGCGTTTCCCCCAAATGTCTGCTCCTAGCTTCCCGATCCAGCAGCTCCTGAAGCCATGTCGGTCCGAATGACAGTCCACTCCAGTGCACGCAAACCAAACAGCACGCTAATTGGCTGGTTCGTTGTCTAGCAACGGTACACGGCTCAATATGATTGGCTCTTGGCTGTATAAGGTATTTCTAGTGTTTTGAAGTGCAATTCTTTTTTATTAACCGTTTTAATGATGACTTAAGCTTAGTATTAAAACAGTCGAATAAACACAATTATGACCTTGGGTGACTTTAATGCAATTTTGACAATGAATATAAAAAACAATACAATAAAATTGCTTATTACACGGTACAGTAAGAACACCCTAGCTTCTGCAGACTGTACATTCTTAATTGACAAAAGTAATACATTAAGGATTTAAATCATAATCTACTAACCTATTCTACATCAACAACAACAAGAATGAATCAAATAAATAAATAAATACAAAAGTTGTTATAAAAAAGACAAAAGCCACTAGATAAATGCACATTTACAAATTGACAGAGGTAAATGTTAAAATATGAATGAATAGATATTCTATTTTTTATAACCCTCTCTTCAGTAACATAAATAAGGTAACATACATAATATATAATACAACTTTAACATCACCTTAACAGTGTTTCTCTACAGGTCAGAATGTAACCTCTGAGTGTGTGAAGCAGAGCAAACTACACAATTTGACTCTAAAATAGGCTACTCGTACACACATTTTAAGGACAATTTAGGCATTACAATATATAATGATTTATCTAAGCAGAAAAAAACAAATGTAAACTAATAGCGTTATGGCTCAGTTTTTCTATTTCCAAGATGCAACATGTGTAAAACTGGTGCCATAATTGTAATACAAATCAATATTTATTATTTATACCAATGCTTGTCCTGTGCAAAAGGATACCAGTTTGATCTGTGAGGATTCAGATGGAGTTTATTTAAGCAATAAGCTATACAGTTTAATGTATTTATTGTAAGAGATCTTACATTTCAGGCAGTGAATATCTCCTTTACCTTTAATTTTCCAGTGCCCTAGATTACAAAAATAAAAATAAAGCTAAATATGAGTATAATGATAATGTGCAATTTAAAACAGAAAGCATTTGCCCAACTCTGGCATGATTCTCTGCATAATTCTTTTTTTGTGGAGACATTTCTAGTAACTTCTGCAAGGTATTATCAGAGGGTTTTTCATCATCACATAACAATCATCAACAATAGAATCGTGATAATGACAAACACTTTTAAACACTTGATTGGTAACATCTATTGGATTTACAGTACAGTATGACATTAAATTCATAGTAAACTTTTAGTATCAGTATTTCTGCACATTTAATCTCAATATACTTTACTGGACAATTTAAAATGCACAACACAATGCCTGACCAGTTCATATACAGTTATGATCACATTTTCAGCTTGACCCAGAGCTAGTCACTAACGGAAACAGGGAATCCTGAGGAACCAGATGTATTGAGCAGTGGGTCTGTTAAGTCGTCTCTCTTTGCTTCAAGCCACCAGGTTGTCATGTCTCCTTTTCCCTGTTTGGTCAAGAACAAATAAAAGAGTGTTTGAGAGAAAGAAGAGAGTCATATTGCAAAGCATGTGTGCCTTTGAATTTTAAATAAAGCCATTAGGGTTGAAGGGGGGGG